AACGGTAGCAACAAAAAAATCAATTTTCAATGTTGTTTGTTCTGAGAAATTTGAACGATTAAAGTCAAAAAGGTTTCCTGGATACGAAAAATACCTGAGTGAAATAGTTTTTTAGTAAAAGAAATTTGTGCAATATTGCCGCTTTGTGCTGTTAGATAAACTGTTTAAATTTTAAAAAGAATCTATTTAGACTATTTTTGGAATGGTGATCACAATGTTTCAATAAAAAAGGACGCGCCTGTTTCAATCGTGGGCGCCTTTTTTTCATCACCCAGTATTTGATTCCATTAACGTAAAACACGAACCTACCCTACCGTGTACTTTAAATCTGGGTTTCTGAAGAGAACTACTTTTGAATTTAAAAAATACTGGGAATAACGAACAAGCAACGAAAACAGTGAAAAAACGAATACAAATGTCAGTCATGTCAGTTCAACAAACCATGTAGGTAAGTAATCAAAAAAGAACAAAAATTCCATTTGCTGTTATACCAGGGACATGCGCAGGGCTACAAACTATGAAATTCCATAGCCAACCATTATGCCAATTTCAATGAAATCTACTATATTAGGAAATGTTTTTTTTGTGGATCCTGTTGTTTTTGAAAAAACTAATACGATAACGAGTCAGTTGTAGCCTAGCTCTCGTACGAGTTATTTGAATCATAATAATTGTTCGAATAAATTATTGTAAAATTGTGTTTTATCTCAAGAAGAGTTTTCAAAAGTAAGGATCTGGACCCTTATAAGCACAACAAGAAAAATAGCTGATTAGAGTTTATGAATATACAGACAAAAAAAAACAACCATGTTAAAATTGTTGATGAATTCAAAAATTTTGGTTATGTAAAAAACTCCTAAAAACAACGCCATCCAATAAATTGCAGTATTTCTTCCAATAATGATTCAACCTTCCGCAGAATCATATTCCAAAGACGATTGGTGATCTGAAAATTTTAAATGAGATTCTGAAAATGAGTAAAAATTACCCATTAAATAAATGCCACATTTTTTTTTAGACAACGAGCTTGTTACAAGAATTGTTGCCATGCAAAAACTTTTTTTGTAAACCTCACACTTTTTTGTTAAAAAAATGTTTGACTTACAAGAATTAAAGAATTTTTTTGAGTAAACTACCAGTTTTTTTTTTTTTTGGAAATAAATTAATAAATGTTCAAAGGTTGTAAAGGAGCAATGCCAAAATTTTTCTTATTTTAATTATTGCTCACCTATAAATTTATTTGCCAAAAAATTTGATAGTTTTGCCAGAATAATAATAATCGTTTCCAGACTTTTGGAACATCCTAAAAACAAAATTCTAACAAAGTTAACGTCTAAACATGGTAGGCCATCCAAATTGCGAAGAAAATACATATTGAAATGTAAATCTGATTTAAGATCGTTGAAATGGAGCAGTACTCCCCGAGAAGTAAGAGAAACTGCTACAGAAGCAATTGAATACTAGTTTAGCAAAATATTATGCGTAAATTGACAATTCGAAAGAAAAAATTCCCGGTATTTTTGTAATCTTAATGTTGGCAAACCTGAATATTACCGCCCAAGAGAAGTAATGTTATCACTGCTCATGAGATATTATGATGTGTTTCCCAACCTTTAAAAGGTTAGTAATCGGCATATTACATTAGTGATTGTGTATAAAATTACTAACATAACTTTAAACCTAATCTAGAGAGATTTTAATATACAGGTGTTTCCAAAAGAAAGGTTTTAGGGTGGTGCAGTTTAGTCTTTGAGGGAATTTTGACATTGACAATTGTTAAAAAATGAACTTTACTAAACAATTTTTTTATTATAAAATTATTATATTATTAAACCGATAATTTCAATGACATCTTAGCAATGGAAAAAATCTATAGATATATCAGTGATTGCGTTGGTTTATTTCTCTAAATCAATCCGGCAGCATCGCCGTCGATTTTTGTCCGGATTCCATCAGAACCCGACCGTCAGGAGCTCAGTGATTAGGACAAGGCGTGACGGCATATCGGCCGTTTCATCTCCTTATGCATTGTGTTTACATGGACCGTATCAGATACCTCGCGGTTCTCTAATGGCTGTTCTGCCATCTCCTGACAGAAGGACAAGAGAGAATACCTGTTTTAAACTCGACATATTCTTTGATGATTTGTTCGGGAATTTCGATCTGAAGAAACTTCACTTCATTGTTAGGTCGCCTAATAAGTGAAACAATGTTATTATAATAGTGCATCACCTGCGGAAAGTAATTACCTGCCATTAACGTAGGTTTAACGAAGTCCATTTTAATTTAAGGATTAAGACTAAGGAGGTCTAGTCATCGTCGGCGGGGTAATTAACGAATCTGATGCCGAAATCAGGCCTGTTAACTGACTTGGAACACATTGCGACCCAGTATAAATATAAATTTACAGTCTTAACGAGCGACATCTTGGTGATTTAAATTGGCGAGGATATTTAATAACACTTAAATGACTAGCTTTAATCATCAAGCGTAACTTCTTTTCCTATTAATGTCCGAATTTTATTATTGCGTTTCAATTAAGTTTACGTCGAGGGACATAAAATACCAATTTGTAGGATGATTCTAATTGATAGTTATTTAATGATAGCTTCAGCAACATCTTGAAATCTGACTAGACTCGTTTTGATAAGTTTCTATGAAATGGTTTCAGTTTTATTATTGCTCAATTAGTTACCAAGAAATTTTCATAAAACCACCCAACCAATCAAAGTTTTATGTCCTATACTGCATGCAACCTCTACCAACAAACTATAACATACGATAATAACAGATTTCAACTTAGATTCTTACATTTACTTCATGCTGATAACATTCTTTTAAGAACAAAGCTATAATTATGTAAACATGAAGTATAAATGTCCCCTTTCAAAAAAAAGGTTATGAAACATCTGGACAATTAAAGTTTTTTATTCGACTATTAAATTTTATTCCTATGTAGTACCTAAGAACTTAAATCATTTAAATCATTAGAAATAGTTTGGTAAAAAATATTTTACAAAAATCTGAATTTTAGCTAATTTAATAAGATGAAACATACCAGGTAAATAAAAAGTATGAAACCAAACGTTTTTTGCTTAAACTATTTATTTTTTGGAAAAACTAATTGATGAATGATAAAGTAGATCTTGTAAATATGTGACGTTTTATCAAGAATTAAATTTTTCAGAACTTTCTTTTTGAGTTCTGTGAGTTTTTTATTTTTTTAAATGGCAACCCACTATAAACCATTTTTCTCATAAAGGTTATGATCTAAGGATTAAAAGTTGCCATTTTGACAAAAAAATCGCATATCTCAAAAATAAAACAAAATTTAATTCTCAAAATATAATATAAAACATGTTTTATATGTATCTATTACTTAACTATTATTTTCTGGAAGCAAATGATTAAAAAAAAACGCTTGGTTCCATTCTTTTTATTCACCCTGTATGTTTTGTTTCAAAAATTATTAATATAGAAATACTAATAAAATTAATCAATTTTTATCAAATTTAGGTAATTGGTAACTTAATACCAAAACAGCTGTTTCAGGGAACTTATTCTTTTTGCTTCCATTAAATTTACGTTTATTAAATAATTATAAAAAACAAAATTTCTAATTAACTGATTATTTTTTTTAAATAAAAACTTAATGTGACTCCTATTACTTTTTTTAAACAAATTTAATGCTAATTCAAAAATAGTTAATTTGATGTTTCAATTATTCATTAAAGGTGTCATTGAGCAAAAAAAAAAGCTTAAACTTAATTAAATGAAAATATTTGGCTACATTGCTCTGCCAGCTGAGGTCATAGACCGGAATGAAAAATATATCTTATTATATCTTATACTATAGCTTTTATTTTTATTTTTGTTGTGTTTGTTTCATTTTTGTACTAGTCCTTACATTTTTATTAAAATTTTCATAACATTTTTGTATGAAATAGTAGTCTCTAGTCGCTAGCCAATCAGGATGGTAACCAGCAGGGAGATAAGGTAGACATTTGCACCCCCTGTAACAAAATCTGCCTCTAGAAAAATTCAAAATTCAGGCACACTAGTGGCAGGCACTAGCTCTATTAAAAAAAATTTTTTTTCATGATTTTTAATAAATTATTAATAAAAGTAAAAAAAAGAAAACTTTAGTTTGTTTTAGGTTAGGTATGTATATAATTTGTATGATCTAATAAATATAATAACTACAAGTTTTGTTCAAAGTCTGAATCCAGTGTAATATAAATTCTTCTTTTTACTTTTACACGAAAAACAAATTGTTGTAATATAAATAAATACTCATGAAACTTAGAGTTGCAACATTTACAACATCTATTTTTTTGTAAAATCTATAGGTACACAGCTTGATGTTAAAAAAAATATTCTGGAAAAAAATTACATCTGTAGTGAGTAATAACGATTTTTTTTGTTCTAACAAGAGAACTCTTTTATCACTCAGAATTAGTTTTCCAATCTAGATGCGAGCATAAAAAGTTCATCATTTAGTCATGGTCCAGTAAAACAAGCATCATTAGACATTGTTTTTACATGTTGGAGATAACGCACCGTGTCTGTGTCGAATTTTATTTGGAGAAACATAATGTCGAACACGAACCGTTTTAAAGTTAGAGAAATCACAGGAACAAGAAATGATAATTATCTGTAGTCAATATATGTCTCGAATACATTTCTTCATCTGGTGGTCTTCATCAATCAAAACACACATTAGCTTGTCTGTTTCGTACCCCTGGTTGCTTGGGTCTGCCCCCACTGCATCATCGCGTATCGTGGACAAACTTCGTCATTAATCAAATACAAAATATTTATATATTTCTTACTATGACGTCGCGTCTTAGAACGCTTCATATCTCAACATGCATGAAGGATTTATTTTTATATTATATTCAGCAGGGAAAGATGGATGTGCTCTATGACTGAAATGTCAAATTGGTTACAATTGAAGCGACTTTCACGACGAAGAAAGAAAAATAAACGATAAGTTCTTAAAATGCTTTTATTTCAATGAAAAGATTTAGAATACAATAATCAAATCTATCTCGACTGTGTCATACACAACTAGGCAATTATATTAAGCAGCTTTTAAACAATTAATTATGCGAGGGAGTTTAACGATCTACAAGTCAGTCATCATGTCTTCCAACCGGCTTTTGTGAAAAATCTTTAATAAATGAAGCTTTTTCTGTTGAAAGACATAATGAACCAAAAGTCACATTAGCTCACTATAATAAATTAAAATTATTTACAGACATTTTATACATTTGTTTGGAACTTTAGCAGAATCAGTTAACACACCAATTTACACTACAAAAGTGTGGTTTTGTATCTCAAGCGACTTATTTACAAAATAGTAGCAACGTCATTGCAATAACCAATAACTTAATTATACCGCCGCTAAATACTTTAATATAAAATAGTGCTAATTTTATTTATTATACATCATTGTTTTTACAATGTGGGTAGTCAGAGTACAGTTTTATACACATTTTCTATATATCACAAGATGAAGGAACCTCCTCAAGTCGGGCTACTGGGCGACTCCCGCCCGTCTCTCAGACTTGTATCTGGAGAAGATTTGGGAAGAGAAGCATAAGGAGAGTATCGGTGTTGAGCTAAAGGTCTCGCTAACGGCGACATTTGCGAATTCAAATGCGAACTTCCGGCAGCAGCAACTGCCAATTGGTGTTGATGTTGAGCTGCCAACAGCGAGGGACCTAAGCAGGCCCACTGGTTCCACAAAACCCCCGGAGGAACAGCACTACTTTGTGATGCACCCGCACCGTAAAGTCCTCCCATTAAAGGTCCGTAGGGTCCCGCTGCCGCCGCCGCCGCCCTCAAAAACAACTGCGACCTCGCGGCAAGAATCGCCTTCTCCTCGATTGACAAATTGTTGTTGTGAGTATCCAAATCGGCGAAGGGGCGAAGCGGAGAGCGCAAATAATGCTGCTCCGCGAGCATCGATTCCATGGTTTCTCTGGAAATACTTCGAGTTGTTATAAGTGTTATTAGAAAAAAAAAATTACTGCTGTTTTTAGAAGATTTCGTCATTCTTCTAAACAGATGTATAAAAAGACAAAAATTTTGTTTTTTTTTTGAATAGTGTTTATCTTTGTCTTGAAGCGAAAACTAGTAAAATATTTGAAATTATGTTCTCTTTACCGAATTGGGTTGACAGAGTTAAACCAAGTGTGGGACAAAGACAAGTATCTTGAAAAATTGGCTGTTTCTAGCGATATTTTCAATCTAATTTTAAATTTTCGCAAACGGAACACTTTTTTGAAAAAAATTATTTCACTTTTTTTATTCCAATTTTATATAAATATACATGATATTAAAAAAAACGTGTCAGGAGAAAGACGTATTGTGGTGAACGAAAAAACGCGACCAAAAAACTAAAAAGATTATTATTAGTTTTTATCGAAACGCAAATACAGTGTCGGACACAGAATTTTGGACATCAAAATTATGTCAGTTCAAAAAATGTCAATGTAAGCCACGCTTTACTGTCATTATGATGTTTGAAACTAAAATTTGAAAGTTTTAGTTGAAATTTATTTTTGGCGTCAATTTTTCGGAACAATAATGCCAGCAATACGTGTTTTTATATATGCTCAATAAATTATTTTGATTTGTTGTCATATTTTCTCTAACTCTCAGGATAAAAATTACAAAAACCGAAAATGGGGTTAATTGCCTGAGGCCCGTTTTACATTTTTTCAGTGTTTCAGTGTATTCAGTTTACTTTGACAAAATTTGCCTCCCGAATATCCTCACTGAAGGGTGCTTTCTTAGATACTAAAAACATCTGAAAGCTGGAAGCTAAAAGAGGTAGAAAATACATGCTTTTTTAGAGAGATCTAAGTTATAAGTATACAGGCTGCGCCAGAATTCGCGCCCCAGAGAAAATTTAAAAATAAGATAAGATACCAGGAATATGAAAAAAATGTCTAAAAATTTTGCCATTTATTTTTCGACATTTGAGATTTTTTTATGTCTATTTAATGGTACTGATGATCTTGTATATGTTTTTTGTTTACAATTATTTAATAAAGGTACAAAAATTTTGACAATAAAAGACACAAATAACATTGAACTGAGTTACAACTTAGGATACAGCTTCCTTCTTTCCTCTTCTAATAGTAGCAAAAAAAAATGGAAAATTATTTTTTCAACAGAAATAAATAGCGTCAAAATGCAAAATTTAAACTCTCATAACTTCGAAATTTTTATAAATAATTTTTGTCTGGGGCGCGAGTTTTGGCGCAGCCTGTATACCGAGGTCTGATTTGTTCTTTGACAGATACACGTAAAAAAATACAAATATGAAACAAAAGACAAAATGATAAATTTAAAATTAATAGAATAGTGAATCTTTATTTTTTCGTAGCTCTCATATTTTTTTACAAGAATTCCTAATATTTAAAGTCAACAAGTTTAAATTTTATTGAGTGTCGGGTGTCTCTATTGTGTGGCACCCCGGACTACTAAAGTAGAGATATCCAAGGCAAAATATTGACCATAAGTACCAATTTTCTGCACGTTTTTGCAATTTCTATGAGTATTCCCGCAATAAGTATAAAATATTTTATGTCATAATATTACATTTTTAGGGACAAATTTGTATAAAGGTCCAAGGGGCCGTTTATTCTGAAATTATTTGTACAATTTTTAGGAATTTAATTAAAATTTCTTGGAATTATTTGAAAGTATTTGAAATTATACGTATATACATATACGTTGGCATTGTTTGGAATTACTAGAATTATTTGTAAACTACTGGAATTTTTCTGAAATTGCTGGATTATTTTTTGATAATCTTTTTTGAAAATTTCGTTAAATTTTATAGAACTATCGGAAGTAATTTGCAATTAAGAAGAAATATTTTACACATTTTTTTCAAGTTAACGGCCCCTCGGATTCGCCCACCACTAAAATTTAGATAAATACTATAGAACTTTTTCGTCAACTTGACTACTTTTTCCATTATAACGGTACTATCACCATACAAAAAAAATATAAATATTTCTTATACACACGTAACTAAAAAATCCGAGTTAAAATTTTCATAGGTATACCCCAAGAGTATAGAAACTATTTTTTGTTATGACGGATGCACTCCAGATAAGCCTTTAGGTCATCAAAGACAAAAAACATGAAAAAATATATACCTTTAACTTATCTTATTTCAAATTGTTAATTATTGTACTGAAACGTCCCAAAATTAGATACATATGTAATTACTTTTTGTTGCCATATGATGTCAACTTAAATAGCGAATTAAAATATTTGTTTTTAATTAAGTTGTGTAAACAGACCATAGATATCTTCGTAGAAGATTTTATGTTACTCAGAAACACCATATTCTTGGGAAGTAGATGCTTCCAAATATTGCCACCTCACAGCTGCAAGGAGGGTAAGGCAGAAAAAGCGGCGCGGCGGAACAACAAAAAGATTAATCAAAATTCCCGTTATCGAATGTCAAAAATCAAACAACATTTGTGTTCAGTAATTTGTCGCCCTATACCTTGCTTTTTGAAAAAAATTTCCATTATAACGGTTTCACAAAAAAAATAAAAAATTAAAAAGTGTTACGTTGTCGAGTTTTCACATACATAATACTTTATGTACAAAACTTTTTTTTTAATTTTAAATAATGTCAATGAAATTAGAAATATAAATTTCGTGCCATCTGTCTTTTTGGAAACAAACTAAAACGTGTCCCTCTTTAACCTAAAGCTATAAATAAGTACCTTTCGAATTCCGTGAGCCTTGAGGAATCTCTAAAACCCTTGGCGAACGGGTTGCTGTCAATCTTGAGTTTGGTTATCTGTAAAGATGATTAAAAATTATTAATCACCGCGAGTCAATTGGCAAAAACGAATGCGAATGTCTGCGCGCCGAGCATTTGTAATTAGTCACCGACTGTGGACATCAATAAAGGGGAAAGGAAATCAGTAAAGCAAACAGGACGTCAGTTCGGAGATGAACTCCTGGGGTGGGCCAATTATCTGTTCGTGGGGAGTGACAGCACCCGATGGAGAATGTCTGGAATGCATGGGCGCCCACCGTGGCTCGTTCCTCAAGAGCTAGCTATCCCGTGATGATGCATGAGACAGCATCGACTCATAAGATGACATCCGATACGAGACCGGTTTAACTCTACGTGAAAATAATTCGCTAAAACGGAAAAGCGTCGTCGTTTTAATGATTCATTTCCAACTCGTTCGAAATAATTTCCCAGTCACATCTCTACTGGAGGCGTCAAAACCAACGTTCGCAATTAATGCCTGCTTACACATAATTTATTTCATTTCAAAATCCCTTTGAATCCGCTCGTATATAAATTTTCTCGCGACACGAATTATTCTCTCAGTTAATGCGCAATCATTTAATTAGATAACATCTCAATGCTAATATATTAAATGCATGATGGTCATACGATATTCTACCAGAGTAGCGTGTAAAGCGTTATTTTTTCTTTTAATTCACGAGATCAAAGCGCCTAGGAATGAATTTCTTAAACTAGTCTCCTTCTTCCTCTAATTCTCTTCAAGTTTGCCAGTGGGAGAAAGAGCTTAAATAAGACGAGGCTGTCGTGGCACTCTTCTCACTCCTCTATGATAGGATGCAGGTGCGATGAAAGAAGATAGATGGTGAATTATAGCACTAAAACGAGCAGTAGCGCCAGTCACATGTGCGAAGGTGTTTTATGAGCTTCTTGTAGGCGATCATCGTGAAACAGCAGGCGCGAGAGGATTCCTCCACGTTTCCAGCTTCTATCCTTTTACTCCTAAAGAAAAACCAAACGTGGAGTCGTGACACCCTCCTCATCAGATTTGGCGCAATTGGCGTGTCGTTCTGTCGTAAAGTGAGCGCCCTGAAAGAAGCAGCCAACATTCTCCGACTAAAGCAAACATAAATAATAGTTTTTAAATGAGACAGGACGTTTCACACGACGCGTGTGTGTGGCGAGACACATGATGCTATGTTCTTGTCGAGTGACGGATTGCTAGGGACTAGATACGCATGCTTTGCGAGCTAACATGACACATTTCACAACATCAATGTGTTAGGAAGTCACTAACGAGCGCTACCGATATCCCTAAATATCACAAACGCCATAAATATTACGAATTCGGCGAGCGCTGAAGACTACAACTAACACCTCTTCGCCCACCAGATAAACACAGCAGATGAAAAATAGCCAAAAACTTTTAATATTGCATATAGACCAGTCACCAGAAATGTTAGATGAAAAATCGTTAAATTCTTGTTTTGCAAAAATACAACCTGTGAGAGAAATAAATACAATCAAGTTCATTTTTGATAACGCTAGTTTACAAATAACTTATTTAATTAAATTAATATTTTTATGTTATGTGAAAGTAAATCATTTACCTTCTATCAAACAAAAATAACAGTTATTTTTTTATCACGTCACAAAAAATGATTTGCTTGCTTTCTGCACGAATCCTTTCGATTTAAAGTTCATATTTAAAATTCAAATTGTTGCTGAATTATTACAAACTAATAACCAGATGGGTGTAAATATGTTTCTTAAAATACATTTCCTTGTTGGACTTCTTTCCTCAAAACTTAGGCAGCATGAGTGACGAATAGAGCGATCGTTTTCAACAAGATCTGGAGGTTTTCGAAGATCGGTATAAAAGTTTTTGTGATGCAAATACAGGGCTGTCCGGAAAGTCGCGCACCTCCTTGAAAAAGGATAGTTGGGTAGTTACCCAGAGTACTGAAAAAATGTTTAAAAAATTTTATCTGCCAAAAAATTTTGACATTTATTTTTTGACATTTGGCTTTTTTTTTTGTCTATTTAATGATACTGATAATTTTGGATATGTTTTTTTATAATTATTTCGTAAAGATACAAAAAAGTTTCCAACAAAAGCCACAAATAACACTAAATAGAGTTTACAGCTTCCTTGTTTCCTCTCTATAACCTGTAGCAAAAAAACTTGGAACAATTATTTTTCGAACAGAAATAAATAGAGTCAAAGTTCAAAATTTAAACTCTCATAGCTTCGAATTTTATAGATAGATTATTTTTAGCACTTTTCTTGTTGTCTAGGGCAATACCCAGTGCAAGGGAGGTGCGCGAATTTCCGAACATTCTGTATGTTGGACTGTTATAAACAAAACTGATCCAAAAAAGTTTCTTTATTTATCTCTATCTTAAACACTCCACCACGGGCACAAGCGAAATATTTTCGCTACTAAAGTGTTTTTGACTGTTTGTAGGGCTAAAACCGTTGAAGATAAAGTTATAGTATAAACTTTTTTAAAGCCAATTTAATTCTCTACAACTATGTCCTCTACACTTTTTTTTTAATCGTATGTGCAGCATTTTCAAAAAAAGTTAAAAACATGAGGCGAAGCAAAAATTTCTGTTCTGTTTATTATTTTATTTTGTACTCAATGTTAAAGAGTGCTATTATAGTATAGTATAGTATATAGTAAATTATGTTATTACGAGTAAAAGTGATTGTTAAATGATTCAGCTGAGCCACATAAACTCACTTTTACTCCAAATAACATACCATGTGAATAAAAAGTATGGAACCAAGCGTTTTTTCATATACTAAGCACTTTACGAAAAAAATAATTAGTGTAGCGTAAAATACAATTAAAATGTGACCATTTATCAAGAATAACATTTTTCGAAATTTCTTTTAGTTTTCGAGTTCTGAAAAAAAAAAAAAATTATGACAACCCACCATGGTAATTTTTTTTATTAAAGATTATGATCTAAAAATGACCTCTAATGAAATAAAATTGTTTTTTAGCCAGTAATTTTTTTGTAATTAATTGTTAAAGTTACGTTCCGAGCTCATCACAAAGATTTTCTGAACTTAACCGAAGTGGTTGTTTCATGCTTTTCTTCATGGGAGAGCCCTGATTTCTATGCAGGTGTTTTGGGATGGTTTCGAATCGACTAAAAATAGAAGAAAATGGTTTGTTTTTATATTTTTTGATCCACTCGGAACCACCCCAAAGCACCTGCACCAAAAACCGGACTCTCCAACGACCAAAGTCATGAAACGACCCTCGTTCAAGTTCGGAAAATCTTCGTGATGGGCTCGGAACGCAACTTTAACAATTTATTTAAAAAAAAGTACTGACTAGAAAACAATTCTGTTTAATTAGAGCTCATTTTTAGATCATAATATTTAATTAAAAAAATTACCATAGTGGGTTGCCATTTAAAAAAATTTTTTTTTCTAAAACCCGGAAACTAAAAGAAATTTCGAAAAATGTTATTCTTGATAAATGGTCACATTTTAATTGGAGTTTACGCTACACTAATTATTTTTTTGTAAAGTGCTTAGTTTACGAAAAAAACGCTTGGTTCCATACTTTTTATTCACCTGGTATACTATTTTAACCGAAAACGATTCAGAGGAAGAGAAAAGAACAACACACTAATTATCAATTAAATCACCAAAATAATCAGGACGCTTTGCAATAAAATCATAACAAACGTCACGCGTCAGTTTCGAAATTTGTGTTGAGATTTTCGTAAGTGTTGGTTGATTTAAATAGTGAATAACTAGTGTAGTTTATAGTGCAAAATGTTGAATGCTGATAATCTACTGTACCTTTTCAGAAAATGCTGAAGCAGCAAAAGAGACAAGAAAGAAACAACAACATTGGTAAATGTCAAGTAAAAGTGAAAAACGCTTAGGCGAAAAAACAATGTTTTTACCCCATGTCTGAAAGGTAAAACTTTTACTTGTGTCAATTAGTTATAAAAATGTAATTTTTCTGACGTTTACGGATAAAGTAATTTTTATCTATTGTTTATATTCTTTCAGTAGATAAAGTAGTCTTTTATCGTCTAGTGAAATAAAGTAATTTTTATGTACTCCACTTTGACCATGTTTTCATCAGCCAAACACAAGAAATTTTGGTAAGTGAGTACAAAATAAAACGAAATAAGTATAATAAGTATCACATCACAAATTTCAATTCTTCGTTCATTTTTCTTTCATGTATTTCTAAAATTTCACTTTTTGATTTTTCAGATTGGTACCTATTGTTTTCTTATTCCTACAATTAGTTGATTAACATAATATTTAGATACTATTAACGTTTATTTTCTTAATAAACGGTTAATAATAAAAAAAAGTTCTTAAATTTATTTTAAACAAATGTATTATGTATTTTAAACAAAAGTTAAAATTTTTAAAACCAAAATTTCTTATCACTGATTCATTCGCTGGTTTCTGTAGCACTTAAAATAAGAACACGAAGTAGAAAACAATTATACCAGGTGTCTGGAAAAAACGTTGAAAGATTTTAGAGGTGCCCTAGTTCAAAATACGAAAAAAAAGTTTTTGCAGACTTATGTGCGAAAATGCTTCTTGAGGAAGCTAGAGCCCTCTAAAGATGGCTATTTTCTATTTTCAGACAATATGTCTTTTGTTGTTTTTGTACGACGTACTGTTTTCAAGAAAAAATATTTTTTTTAACCGTGCACCGACTTTAATTCCGAAAAGCAACTCAAGCAGTAAATGTTTTCTGATAAGGCCGATTTATCTCTCGGGAACCATTCCCTAAAATCTTTCATAATTTTTTTCCGCACACCCGGTATATTTGTATTTACATCTTGTAACTTATTTTCAATTTTAGTTCGTAAGTCGGTATTCAAATTTTGGATATTTCTACTTAAGCTTCTTTTCAATTTAAAACTGTTTATTTAGTTGATCTAGTGAAGGAATTCTCCAATTTTCAGGTAAATGTAAGTCAAATGGAGCATAATGTCAAATAATTCATTTGACATCTGCAGCGTTAGTGCCTGTTTCGACGCAAAACAATAGTTGCATGTGATAAAAGTTAACTGTAATAAAATTGAAACGTGGCAGATATCACAATAAATTAAATCGTTATGTAACAAATAAATCAAGACCACACACATACCAGCAATAGCAAGATCTCAGTGTCACTGTAGGATATTTATCATCACAATCACCACAGTGTTCCGAAATACGATAAAGTTAATTTAAATAAATGTATGTAAGGTTGGATAGAACTTGGTTTCTCTATCGTAATACCAAAGTTGAAGTTGTAAGTCATCGTTTTACTTTCAGAATTGATCCGTCAAAATTCCAGTTTCACCATGGAAATTTACGTTGAACTCGGAGTGGATGTGGTAAGGAAAACGAACTGGGGATGGGAAATTTATCAAGTGCTGCTCAGATTCCGAACTTTCTTCCGGCACAGAGGTCACCGGTTTCTCCCCGGGCCAATAGCATTCATTTAAATGTAACTAATTTTGAATAAAGAAGGTTTAAACTTAGAACTCATCATTTCTTCGTCACGTCGTTCTATTTTCGATTGAAAAACGACTGGTGTTAATGTGTGGTCGACGTTGATGACCCTGTATTTGAGCAACAATACATTTGCAGGTCGTGAATTGGTAAAATTGTCACTAGACTAGGGTTCATTTATCCACCTATCAGCACAAAGTTCTGGGTGGGCTGACAGATCTGGCTATATGCCAAGCGTCGAGGTGCGAGCTTGTTAATTGAGAGATTGCTATTTGGTCAACAATATTTTCCAAAAGACAAACTTAATCTGGCGATGTATAAATATTGTCGCGTCTGCAACTTATGATTAAAGCGCAACATCTGCTCTGTCAGGAATTTGGACTGCCGAGAGATCCTCCTTTTTTTCTATTATGCAGCACTCCAAGTCTCAAGGATAAATTATGCCTCATGGACAATTACAAACATAATCTCAAAAACAATTTGCTATTATTAATCTGCCCTCAAATTTCTATATAAAATTATATCGCAAAATTCGCCAAGAGATTTTTCATTCTTCAGGCGCCAAAATTACAAAATTAAAAGCTTTAGAAGTTTTTACAATAAATCTATTTTGTGTACAACGAAAAACAAATGGAACACATTAATTAGACAAGTCATGAACAAAAGGTCTGAAACTATTTTAAAATAATAATTTATGTGCGAAATGTGTTTGATCAACCTCGCAAAACATGAAACAAGAACAATGATAAATGGTTGGTAGAGAACACAAAACTAAAAGCCTCTGTAGTGAAAAAACTCTAATTCTTGGTTAAAGTGAAGATAACATCTCTATTTGATTTTGAAGTGGTAAAGAGATGTCAGTATTGTATAAAAGAGGATGTACAATAAACGTCAACTATTTTCCCCAACACCACTCTAAAGTTGGAAAAAAATTGTATGGCCTCATTTTATGAATGAATCTATTTCAGCTTCGAGTAAGTAAACTAATGAAATTAAAATTAGACGCATTTTTAAAGAGTCGAGTGTAACGTCTCAATGGTATATTATAATAATCCCAACACGTGTACTTCCGGCACTTTATATATTTTAGCAAAATATAACTCACCAACTGATTTTGATAAGCCGTGACAGCAGTAAAAACAGTTTCAGGAAATATAAACGTTTTATATTCTTCATTTTCCAAGTCGACTATTTGTCCTGAAGCACCATCCGGTCGTTTCACTAGGTGAATCCTCGGTTGGTATTTGTGCATCGAATTCAGGACTAACTGCAATAAAAATATCGTCAGATTTGATTTATTATCCTTAAATAGTGACGTACATGTCCATGTTTATCCATTTCGTTATTCGTGAGTTTCACTTTTTCGAAGGAAACCACTTGCTTTCGAAGCTGTTCACCGGTGAAGGGAGAATCCGGATGAGCGCACATTCTGCAGGGCGCTGGAGGGTCCGCTTTTCCGGCTACTAGCCAGGAAGATCGATGATAAGCGTAGCGGTAACGTTTGTTATCTACAGGGACGATGTCCAGCAGCACGGCGTACCGCTGGTCCGGACGAATTCCGGTGAAGGAAACTCGAACTGTAGGAAACATGCGTCTGAAATAAAAAATTAATTGTAAGAAATTAAATATAAATTTTGTGAAATACCAGTTTTATACAGGTTATTTTAACAGTTGTGCGATAGTACAGGTCTAAAAAAAATAAAATTACTCAACTTGCCTCAACCGAAAGATTATAGTCTAATTTGATGCAAAATTTTCACCTTTTTGTTATTTTTTTTTAAATTTGAGATCACTTTTTCTGTGTCTGTTTTTGCTAGTTACAACTCATTTTTACAACAATATAATAAATTTTAAAAAACTAACCGCAGAGATCATATTTATCACTCGAATAGGGAAGTTTTTTAAAAATTTCTGCACTATAAATAGCACCCTGCACAAGATGTGATACAAAAAAATACATTAATAATAGAAATAGCAGAGATCATAATTAATTATCTAAAAAATCATCAAGTCTTTTGTGTTTTGTTCTCAATTTAATTAATTATTAAATGAATTTAATGTAAGATGTACTCATATTATTAATTCATTGCCCATTTCTTTGTTTTTTTTAGCGAACTATTACACATAGGTATGTATAACATAGATCAAAACTTTTGAGTATCAACTCAAAAGCTAAAATTTGTTAGTTTATTATTCGGGTTCTATAAATTAATAAAGATGCAAAAATCAACAAGACCAATTTATTCATATCTTACCCTACCAGAAAAAAAGAAAAATAGGAAACACTTAACGTGGTATGAGAGTTTTCAAACGTTCCTAAAAAATGATTTTTTGAGTTGTTACAGTTTTGATCAACATGTGAGATATGTAAATAAGCCATTATTGTAGCATAACATTTAGTAAAATATTTTTACAAGTTTTGAAAAACAAACATCTTTTTAGAAAGAATTTTACAGGAAATGTTAGAAATTAAATAGTTTAAATTAAATTTAATTTAACTCTCAAAATACTATTGTCTTTATAAAGTCACAAATATTTATTAAAGCTGTTTGTTTAAAATATTTAGGAAATTTACACAACGGGTAGTTATTTTTTCTATAAGAAGTTAGAAATGTTTTTTAGTTAAACAGATCGGTTGTTTAATTTTAAAAATAAATGTGAGATTACTTTTTTCAGGCTTTGAATTAAATATTGTCCAATTTGGATCTAGAGTCAAAAAAGCTGACTTTTGAAGCTAAGGGATTGCCCAGGAGAACCGAAGGTATGTACCACCACTCAAGCAATAGTCGAGATGTTTTGTGGTATAACTGCTACTATATGGCACGATCTTGCTACAGAATGAATGAAATGAACCACAGTATATGAGTGGTGGTATTTGTGGTTCTCCCCTTGGGTAACCCCTCAGTCCTAAGAGTCAATTTTTTGACTCTAGGTAAGAACTTCCGTTCATAAAATAGTTATTTTTATTACAAGTACATAAAATACAATTTTTCCAGACGAATAGCAAATGAGTTGTAAAGTGATATTTTTGTACACAGATTTGCGTTTAATTTTTTTTTATTTACATCTTTTTTGTAAAAATAAAACATTTTGATTCGATGAAAAAAAGGATTGTGTGGTGACATCTTAGCTGAGACACCTATTCTAAAACTTATATTTTATTTGGCCATATGCCCCTTAATTTACAAATAATCGTATTTAATGAAGTCGGTTATTAACCAAATTAATGTTCCATATCTGAATTTGTATTATTTCATAATTATATTTTTATGTTACGCTTGTATTATTGAGTTAATAGGTCTTTGTGTTCTAGCAGTTGGATTTGCTGTATTACCTATTAATATAAATTATGACTTAATAGAAATATACCTACTGCTTTAATAATTTTTAAAACAATTACAATTTACATTTTGAAATGTATTTAATTATTATAGAAAAGAGGAGTTTGTTAAAATTTAGTTAGTATTCAAGTAGAGAGTCAGAATATGGTTTTCGTTTTGCTTTTACGAATCGTCTATCGATCATTTGAGCAAAAAGAAGTATGCGGTACCGACTGTGGCAACAAATGTATCAGTCAGGTGCAGGATGTAGTTTTGTTTTCGTAATCCGGGATGTTTCTATCAAGTCCGAAGCGTGATGTGTAGCGTCCAGTTCGATCATTTGTAAGCGTAGATTCAGTATCCAAGATAAAGGTAACAAACAGGCTAACAGGTAAAATAAACCTCACACCTTCGGTCTTGGGTGAATTATCGTAGTGCGATTTGTGCATCGACTTGGTCGGAACTGCCCTATCCAGATCCTGAAGAGATATCGAAACAAATTAGCACTGAAATTATAGGCTTTTAGAAGCCGCTATCTTCATCGCTTGTGATTCGCCGCGGGTCCAATCGATTATTGTACTCGAATATCAGTGATAATAATCCCAGGCCAGATGGTTTCGACCATAATTCAAATTGTTACACTTACATTTGTTGTTTTATAATTTTAAAGCGGCATCACCCTGTAATGTGCTCACAATAAATACCAGATTGGAACCAGTGATATGTTTCAGGTGTTTCGCGGACAACTCGCTGCTGCAAGTGTCCTTACGAAGGTGACGGAATTTTCTACCTGGGAAAATTTATAACTTAATTCTCTCTTGTTTATAAGCCAATAAATTTAATAATGCGCCTTAATCACCCGACTTTCTTCTTTCTTCCCGATGCGATGTTTGATTTTTGCACCGTGTGCCATGCATACACTATAAATATTATATCGCTAATTTCTCTGGATTAAGCAGATGCGTTTTTGGCATTAATTAGGTGCAATTTCGAGAAGCACAGGAAGCTATAATTACGAGCTTCTGACTCGATGCAAGTAATAAATACGTTCTTTAGCAGTTGAAGTGCGACCATCATGGCCCGTTTGTACTGTCACTCGGTCCGTTGCTTCAACATCTTTACGTTTAATTAAAACATACGAGCTGCTTGGCTGATAGATTCACTAAGGCCGCCGCGACGCGACGGCCCAAAGCACAATTAAGCGCTGCTACGCTCGCGATTATTTACACAGAGGTCACTTTTAGAAAAACACGCTTTCATATCTTCAAATCTAACATTATTTCTGCTTCATAAATTTTATGGTGGCGACTCATTCCACTACAGGAATCACCGTTAGAATCACCCGCATTCTAAATTTACACAACTATTGCTGGATTACGGATGTACAGAGTGCTTAGACACCCACCTGCAACAACGCAAACACTTTTTCCTGACAATTAAGATATTTATTTATGGGTTCTCTCATTTTTCTTTTGTCATACATTTATCGCAATATTTTATCTACAACCAATAAAATAGAAGGAACTATAATTAAAAACGCACTAACTTCTACTGGTATAGTATGCTAAAGACTCTATTATAATGCTGAAATTGCTACGAAGAAACACCTTACACGTTAAATAAAAATAACTTCTTCAGAATATGGATGAATAAGAATGAACTTAATTTTTTGTTTTGATCATTAATTGACAGCAGTTCAGTTTTATTAAAACTCTTAGCTTTGCTTCGAAGTTTTTTTTTATATTAGATGTAGCAATTATTTCTGTTAAAAAAAGTTTTAATCAATTAAAGCACCATAATTCCTAGTTTCCTAGTCATTTTTATACGATATTTTTTGATTTGATAAAATTTTGGAGATATGCCTCCAAATGAGATAATAGAAAAATGTAAAAATTTAGAGAGCATTTTGTGTCACTTAATTCAGGATGATTCTTCTTCTGTTGAAGTTCTAAAATTTATTCCACAAAATGAATTTGGTCCAGATCTCATTGTGGCTTTAAGAATTTTACTTTACCTGTGACGGTGACAAGTAGAGAATGATCGTTTTCAAAATTAAAACTAATAAAAACCTATTTAAGGCAGTGGCGGCTCGTGGGTTCAAAACTAGGTGAAAAGCTAAAAATTGTACATTTTTTTTTGAAGCTGTGATGATTCTAACGTTTAATCGTTAAAAAGTAAAGATTTCATCTACCCAAGCAAATAATATATTTATTTAATGAAAGTAATTACTAAAAAAAACTGACAAATTTACAGTAGGGCGCGGTTAAAACGTCTTTTTGGTCATCTTCTTTCCACCGATTAAACGCGGTTTCTAACAAATTGTATACAATATCGTTTGTAGGATTCATTTTAGAAACGAATATAACGAGTAATGTTTCTAGAAGTTAAAAATTTAGTCATTCATCGACACGAGACAACGCGATCAAAAAGTCGACGTTTATTTTCTTCACCTGAGCAAAGAAAATATTATTTTTGGAATAATATTTGAACGTGTTATGTATTTAATGTATTTTTTAAATATTACTTTGAATAGGTAGAAATTATAGGTGAAATGGCACTTTCATTTACCTACTTCTCCTGGCGAGCCGCCACTGATTTAAGGTTGATTTAGCGATATTTTCGATTGAACATGAAATCGCTCAAAATTTGGATTAGGTATCTTTATAGTCTTATGCGTGACTTTTCATCTACGAAAGTGCAAAGTAGTATATTAAAGAACGCGTTTCGTAAGACAAGTTTTGTGGAACGAGTTCAGGTTTATGAAACGAGTCGCAAAGCGCGAGTTTTATAAAGAACGAGTTTCCTCCACAAATGACTTATAAAACACGTTTTTTATGCTACTTTTTCTATTTTGTGCATTTAACATACCTACTTTTTAAAATAAAATCAATTTTTCAAAATTTAGGAACTTTTACCCTAATAAGGTGGTGGTTGGTAATACATGTCCCAAAGTTTGAAAAATGCGATCTTCAAAGTGTCAAGTCCCAAATATTTTTCAAATTTTTGTTGAATGAACAGTGCTAATATTTCATGCGCACCACCTGAAAAAAGAAAAATCGCTCAAAACGCCGCTGAAAATCACTTAAACTCAAGAAACTCTACACTACTGGTAAAAAAAAAACAAAAAGATAAGTGTACTTAAATTTTCTAGATTTATAATTCACGTGAAAATTTTACATTAGCTTGTAAAATGGAAGGCGCACAAAAAAACTTTGCATGATTATTGGTAAATGATCAGTAATTATGTACAGTAACGAGTAAAAATTTCTGTCGC